CTGTTGCTGTCTTGACCCATGAGCGTCTGCCAATAGAAGCAGCAACAGCAGCAGCAGCAGCAGCAGCAGCAGCAGCAGCACACGACAACAGGATGCATGCAGTGCTGCGTCTCTTTGATATTTGCTGCAGCACGGAGACGCCAGAGCAAGAGATTTTGCTGCCAGCAGCAGATTCAGCAGCAGCAACAGCAGCAGCAGTATCACCCTTTGCTGCTGCTGCTGCTGCACCCCCATCTCCCTTAGCTTCCTCCTTTTACTTTGGTGCAGCAGCAGAACGAATTAATCCTTGGTCTGCTGCTGCTGTCTTTGTCTCCTTCCCCACTAGCAGCAGCAGCAGCAGCAGCAACTTCAGCAGCAGCAGCAGCAGCAGCAGCAGCAGCTGTCTCTGCCTCACTCCTTTCCTTCCATCTCGAGCGCAGCTGCCGCCTGCCCTTGCGCTGCAGCTGCATGATGCTGCGCTGCAGGAGGAGCTGCAGCAGCAGCCGAAGGGCAGCAGCAGCAGCAGCAGCAGAAGCAGCAGCAGCAGTGGTGCTGCTGTGAAGGATGGCGATGGGTGCTGCATGCCGCAGCAGCAGGAAGTTTCCCGCTGGCTGCGTGAGTGGGCCACCAGCAGCAGCAACAACAGCAGCAACAGCAGCAGCAGCAGCAGCAATCTACAACCAGAACCACAGCGGTTGCTGCTGCCGTCTCCTCCACGGGCTGCTGCAGCAAAACTGCAGCAGCAGGCAGAGGTTCTAATATGTACATCACCGCTGCTGCTGCTGCTGCGCTGCAGCAGCAACAGCAGCAGCAGCAACCTACAGCTGGAATGTCTCGCGAGCCCAGACACCATACAGCCACGCATGCAAAAGAGAGTCTCGCTGCGGCAGCAGCTGCAGCAGCAACAGCAGCGGCACCAGCAGCTACAACAGCAGCAGCAGCAGCAGTGCCTGTCTTTTGTGTCCCTTGCTGCAGCAGAAGGACCATCTTGCAGCAGCAGCAGCAGCAGCAACTCGCTAGAGCTACGCGCTCTCCCCGCGTTGCCTAGAAGCAGCAGCAACTGCAGCAGCAGCAGCGGCTGCTGCTGCAGTGCTCTCATCTGGTGCAGCACGGGTGCCTACCGCGTGGATGTGAAGGGTCTCTTGTCCCCTGTACAGAAGCAGCAGCAACAGCAACAGCAGCAGCAGCAACAGCAGCAGCAGCAGCAGCAGCAGCAAGTGTGCATGTCTGTAACTTCTTTAGACTTAGGCGACAGCAAGAAGTTGCTGCCGCACTTCTTTGCTCATTTCTCTGCACCGCAGCTGCTTGTTGCTGTTGCTGCTGCAGCACCAGCAGCAGCAGCAGCAGCAACAGCAGCAGCAGCAACAACAGCAGCAAGCGATGCTGCTGCACTGGTTGTGCTCGACGTCGACACTGCTGCTGCACGCGGCTCTTCGTTGCTGTTAACCAGCAGCAGCAGCATCGTTGGACAGCAGCAGCAACAGCAGCAACAGCAGCAACAGCAGCAGCAGCAGCAGTCGCAGCTGATCTCACAGGCAGCCGCTGCACTACACGGAGCATACCAGCAGCAAAAGGAGGGCCTGCTGGAGCTGCGGCAGCAGCGTGTAGCAGCAGCAAAAGCAGCAGCAGCAGCAGCAGCAGCAGCAGCTGGACCGGGTAACACCAGCCGGAAGGCACGGCGAGCAGCAGCAGCAGCAGCAGCAGAAGTTGCTGTTGCTGCTGTTAAGTGGATGGACACCGCAGAGTCAACATTCCTTAAGGAGGAGAGGCAGCAAATGCTGCTGCTGCAGAAAACTGCTCCTTTGCTGCTGCAGCGCAGAGCAGCAGCAGTGCAGCAGCAGCTGCTGCTGCAGGCAGACGAAGCAGAACGCATGCAGCAGCAACAGCAGCAACAGCAGGAAAAGCTTCAGAAGCTTGAGAAACAATCTGTAAGCCCCCTTGAATATTGTTATTGCTGCTGTTGCTGCTGTTGCTGCTGCTGCTGCTGCTGTTGCTGCTGCTGTTGTTGCATTATTTTTGGAGGTACAAATGTTGTCATTGCTGCTGCTGCTGCTGCTGTTGCTGCTGCAGGAGGAGTTGAAGCGCCGCTGCAGCAGTGTTGCTGCTCTTTTATCTGCTGCTGCTGCTGCTGCTCGCCGGCAGCAACTTGCCTTAACTGTGCCGCAGCATGCGCTGCTGCTGCAGCTGCTGCCCTCGCAGCTGCTGTCGCCAATTGCCCCGCTGCTGCTGCAGCAGGAAGCAAAGGCAGATGCGTCTAAACAGACAGGTAAGGACTTCTCCCTGCTTCTGCTGCTGTTGCTGCTGTTGCTGCTGCTGCTGCTGTTGCTGCGGGTGCTTGCGGCCTCTGGCTCCGCTGTTGCTGCTGCTGTCAGCGTAGCTGGTTGCTACAATCTGTCAACAACGTTTTGCTGCTGCTGCTGCTGTTGTTGCTGCTGCTGCAGATGCTTCTCCACTGTTGCGACTAACAGCAGCAGTAACTGCACAGATCCTTGCTATACAGCAGCGGGAGCAGCAGCTGCAGCAGCAGATTTGCTGCCTTGCTGCTTCTCAATGCATGCAGCTGCACGAGCTGCCCGTAAGCGGCAGCAGCAGCGGGAGAATAAGCAGCAGCAGCAGCAGCAACACCGATGCAAGCAGCAGCAGCAGCAATAGAAACAACAGCAGCAGCGGCGTAGCCTTTAATAGATTTTGAACGCCGCGTCTGTTGCTGCAGCAGCAGCAGCAGCAGCAGCAGCAGCAGCAGCACCAGGAGCAGCAATTTTGCTCTTCTCTGCCCGTCGGCAGATTTGCCTCGCTGCTAAGACATGCATGCACTCCTTAAAGGGTTTAGGGTTTAGCCATTAGGGTTTAGGGTTTAGCTATTAGGGTTTAGGGTTTAGCTATTAGGGTTTAGGGTTTAGCTATTAGGGTTTAGTGTCTAGCAGCAGCAGCAAGTGCAGCAGACACACATCGAAGCGTGCAGAGCCGGAGACAAACAGCGGCAGCAGCAGCATAGATTAGCAGCAGCAGCAGGAGCAGCAGCAGCAGATTGCAGCAGCACAACAGCAGCAAAAAGGAACAAAAATAGACAGACAGACAAGTTATATATAAAAACAAACAAATACGCCTCTTTATACGGTTGCTGCTGCTGCTGCTGCTGCTGCTGCTGCTGCTGCTGCTGCTGCTGCTGTTGCTGCTACACACATTTGCTGAAGCATTAAGCATTTGCTACAGGAGCAATATTCGTTGCAGCAGCAGCAGCAGCAGCAGCAGCAAATGTGTTTGCTGCAGCAGAAGCAAACATGCTGCAGCAAATGTAGTAGCAGCAAGACATGCTGCAACACAACTAAATGCACTAAAACATTGCTGCAGCACCTAAATGTATTTTGCTGCTGCTGCTGCTGCTGCACCTGCTGCTGCAGCAACTGCTGGAGCAGCAGGTGCAGCAGCAGCAGCAGCAGCAGCAGCAGCAGCACGACTTATTGTCTTATGGTGCTACGCTGCGGTTCTGCTAAGAAATCCAAAGACAAGATAGCAGCAGCTTCCTCCCTCAACCTGCAGCAACACAATACAGCAGCAGCAGCAGCAGCAGCAGCAGTGGTTAGCAGCAACAGCAACAGCAACAGCAACAGCAGCAGCAGCAACAGTCAGCGACAACAGCAACAGAAAACAGAATTCGCGGTAGAAGCAGCAACAAAGACAGCAGCAAAAACAGCAGCAGACGCAGCAGCAACAGCTGCAGCAGCAGCAGCAGCAGCAGCAGCAGCAGCAGCAGCAAGAGTAGTCGAACCTTTTTACAAAACTGAGGTGAGGAGCATCTTTGGCTTTTGCTGCTGCTGCAGTTGCTGCTGCTGCTGTTGCTGCTGCTGCTTTTGTTGTTTTTGCTGCTGCAGCTGCAGCTGTTGCTGTTGCTGCTGGTGCAGCAGCAGCAGCAGCAGCAGCAGCTGGTGTTGGTGTTCTTCTGCAGCAACTTCTTCTTGTAGGACATGGTGTCTTTATATCTCCTTTTATTCTGCTGCTTTTTATGCTCCCTCTCCTGTTATTAGTGCTGCTGCTGCTGCTGCTGCTGTTGCTGTTGCTGCTGCTGCTGCTGCTGCATGCAGGGTAGCCTACTGACATGCGTAAGGGGATACGAGGGGTGCAATGTGACGTTAATCTTGTCCCTTGCTGCTTTCCTGCTGCTGCTGCTGCTGCTGCTGCTGCTGCTGCTGCTGTTGGTGTTGCTGCTGGTGTTGCTTTTGTTGCTGCTGTTGTTGTTGCTGCTGCTGTTATTGTTGCTGCTGTTGTAGCTTCTGCTGCTGCTACTATTCTTGCTGCTGCAGCAGCAGCAAGCCAGCAGCAGCGCAGCGAATTAAATCCGCAGCCTAGCAGCAGCAATTCATTTCTTGCTGCTGCTTGACGAAGACAAGCAGCAAACAGGAAGCAACTTGTTCGTCGCTGCTGCTGCTGCTGCTGCTGCAGCTGCTGCAGGCAGCAGCAAACAAATCTCTCTAAGTTTAAATAACCAACAGGGTTTTGCTGCGGCGATGGCGCCCTGCTGCAGCGCCAAGCAGCTTCTGCTGCTGCTGCTCCTGCTGCTGGTGCTAGTACTGCCCCTGCTGCTGCTGCTGCTGCTGGTACTGCCCCTGCTGCTGCTGATGCTGGAGCTGCTGCTGGAGCGGGTGCTGGAGCTACTGCTGCTGGAGGTACTGTTGCTGGTGCCGTTGGTGGAGCTTCTGCTGCTGCTGCTGCTGGTGCAGCTTTTGCTGCTGCTGCTGCTGCTGCTGCTGCAGGTTCTGCTTCTACAGGTGATCTTACTGCAACATCTGCTGCTGCATCTTTTTTTGCTGCTGCTGCGCTATCTGCTGCTGCTGCAGATTGTTCTGCTGCTGCTGCAGTTTCTGCTGCTGGTGGTGAAGCTTCTGTTGCTGTTGCTGCTGCACCTCCAGCTTCTGATGTTTCTGGCGCTGGTGCTGGTGCTGCTGCTGCTGCTGCTGCAGCTTCTGCTGCTGCTGCTACTGCTGCGATAGCCCCAGCTATCTCCATGGAGACATGCAGGTAGAGAGACACTTCTATGCTGCTGTTGCTGCTGCTGCTGCTGCTGCTGCTGCTGCTGCTGTTGCTGCCGTCTCGGGCCGCTGGGTCTGTATATTATACTAGTAAATAAATAATTTTTTTTATATATAAATAACAATTTATATCTTTTATTTAATTAATTAAATTAAATTAATTAATTAAATTAATTAAATTAATTAATTAATTAATTAATTAATTAATTAATTAATTAATTTATTTATTTATTTATTATCTTGCTTTTTTTTCCCTACAAAGTACAAATTCCCACTATACGCAAATTGTTAGCGGCTAGGTTACCAGCAGCAGCAGCAGCAGCAGCAGCTGCTGCTGCTGCTGCAGCATCTGCTTATTGCTGCCGCCTCTGCAGACTCTGCTGCTGCTGCTGCTGCCGAAGGTACAAGCAGCAAAAAAAATCGTTAGCGCTCCCTGCAACAGCAGCAGCGCTAGTATCAGCAGCAGCAGCTGCTGCTGCACTTGTAGCAGCAGCAGCAGCAGCAGGAGCAGCACCGACTATTCAAACTGTGCGCTGCTGCTGAGTATTCAGAGCTAAAAACAAATACAATAAATTATAAATATATACACGTGCTGCTGCTGCTGCTCCTGCTGCTGCTGCTGCTGCACCTTATAGAAAGAGAATCGGAAAGTGTTCCTGCTGCAGCAGCTATTGCTGCTGCTGCTGCTGCTGCTGCTGCAAAAAGTCTCCCTGCAGCAGCACGGAATGCTGCTGTCCTTGTTTTTGCTGCAGCAGCAGCAGCAGCTGCTGCTGCTGCAGCAAGCCATCAGTCTAGGGGTATTTCAAAAGCGCATGCACGCGGGTGTCTTTGCTGCTGCTGCTGCTGGTGCTGCTCCTCCTCCTGCTGCTGCTGCTGCATAAGAGCGCGGTGTATCTCCCTTTCGCTGCCTGCTAGTAATGCTGCTGTGCTTACCTCGCTGCTGCTGTCCGGTGTGCTGCTGTTGCTGCTGTTGCTGCTGCTGCAGTCGAAGCCACTTGCTGCTGATGCAGCAGCAGCAGCAAGATGCCTCCTAGGGACCTTAACCTGTGTAGGCGTACTTGATGGTGTTGGTGTTGCTGTTGCTGTTCCTGCTGCTGCTGCAGCAGCAGCAGCAGCAGATAGTGCTTGCTGCTCTGCTGCTAAGGAAAGAGAACAATTCATAGATGCATAACCATCAATTGTGCTGCTGGTGTCTGCTGATGCTGCTGTTGCATTGGTCTGCTGCTGCTCTACTAACGAACTGCTGCTGCTGCTGCTGCTGCTGCTGCTGCTGTTGCTGCTGCGCACTTCTGCATCAAAACGCTTTAGCATGCCATCAAGCATTGCTGACGTAAGCTCCTCTCCTGCTGCTGCTGCTGCTGCTGCTGCTCCTTGCTGCTGCTGCTGCTGCAGCGTGTGTTTCTCCGGTCTCGCTAGAGTAAACTGATCAATCAAGGCTTCAGCAGACACACGCTGCTGCTGCTGCTGCTGCTGCAGTTGCTGCTGCTGCTGCCAAGGTGCAAGACTTACGGTGTCTGGGGAGACAGCAAGAGACCCACAAAGCTCTAATGATGCTGCTGCTGTTTCGGAGTCGCTGGAGTTTGCTGCTGCCTCTGCTGCTGCTTCTGCTGCTGCTGCTGCAGCAGCAGCAGCAGCAGCTGCTGCTGCTGTTGCTGCTGATGCAGCAGAAGAAGCAGATGCTGTTGCTGCAGGCGATGGCTGTGCTGCAAAAAAATCAACTTTTGGGGTATTTGCTGCTAAGACAGGAGAGCTGGCAAAGTCTGCTGCTGCTGCTGCTGCTGCTGCAGCTGCAGCGGCTGCTGCTGCTGCAGTACTTGCAGGTTGGGGATGCTCGGAGTAACTGCTGCTGCTGCTGCTGCTGCTGCTACTGCTGCTGGAGTGTGCATGAGGGGCCCGGTGTTCTGCAGGTGTGAGCAGGGAGGGAACTGCGCTGCTGCTGCTGCTACTGCTGCTGCTGCTGCTGCTACTGCTGCTGCTGCTGCTGTCATCTGTGGCTCCTTCCTGCATGAGTGCATCTTCAAATTGCTGCTGCAGGAACTGCTGCTGCTGCTTCATCTTTTCTACTTGCCTCTGCTGCTGCTGCAGCTGCTGATGTCTTTGCTGCTGCTGCTGCTGCAGCTGTGGCTGTACGGTAGTCGTGATGCCCGTGTATTGCTGCTGTTGCTGCTGCTGCTGTCGCTGCTGTTGCTGTAGTTGTTGTTGCAGCGCAAGAAACTGTTGCTGCATCTGCTGTTGCTGCATCTGCTGTTGCTGCTGCTGCTGCTGCTGCTGCTGCTGCCTCAATAGGTGCTGCTCAACCAGCAGCTGCTGCTTCATCTGCTGCCGCAGCAGCAGCCCTTGTGTTCTTAAGAAAGCTTTCTGCAGGTTGCTGCTGCTGCTGCTGCTGCCATCAGCAGCAGCAGAAGCAGCAAGCTGCTGCAGTCTGCCGCTGCTGCCGTAGTTTCCAAGGGTTCGTAAATGTCTCCTGTTGCCTGCTGCTGCTGCTGCTGCAGCAGCAGCAGAGGACCTAGCAGCAGCAGCAGCAGCAGCAGCAGCAGGAATATAATGACTATCTGGTCTTAAGGAAGACACAAAGACTTGTTCTGCTGCTTCCCTATCAGCAAAAAAGCCTGATACATTTTTTCTTGCTGCTGCTGCTGCTGCTGCTGCATCTGCTGCTGTTCCTGGTTGCAGGTTGCGCTGCCGTAGCAGCCGACGCTGCTGCTGCAACAGCTGCTGCTGCTGCTGCTGCTTCGTTTGCTGCTGCGGATTGGCCTGCTGGTGCAGCAGCTGCTGCACAAGACGCCGCGCCAATACATCTGCCTCCTCATCATCCAAGGGAGCCCGCTGCTGCTGCTGCTGCTGCTGCTGTTGCTGCTGCTGCGGCCGTTGCTGACGCCGCCGCTGCTCCCGTCGTTGAGGCTGCTGCTCTTGCTGCGGAAGCACCGCGAGTTGCTGCTGCTGCTGCTGCTGCTGCTGACGGATTTGCTGCTCAAGCTTCTTCTTCTGCTGCTCTAGCTCCCTCTGCTGCTGCTGCAGCGACTTCATCTGCTGTTGTATCTCCTCATCTTGCTGCTGCTGCTGCTGCTGGTCTTGCTGCTCCGTCTGCTGCTGCAGCTGCTGCTGCCCTTGAAGGGGCAAAGACACTGGTAACACAGTGCACTCGAACTGCTGCTGCTGCTGCTGCTGCTGCTGCTCTTCCTCCTCCCCTTCTTGCGGCTCGTCACCGTCTCCCCACCATGAGGGGTATCTGCTGCTGCTGTTGCTGCAGCAGCAAACGGAAGCAACACACAAATGACAGCAGCACATAGAGCAGCAGCACCACAAGCAGCAACAGCAACAGAAGCAGCAGCAGCAAGAGCAGCAGCAGCAACAGCAGCAGCAACATACAGAGCATTTCCGTCGTCTCCTTTGCGCCATAAGCTGCTTGCCTTAGCCCCGCTGCTTCTGCTGCGAGTTGCTGCTGCTGCTGCTGCTGCTGTTGCCTCAGCTCGTCCCCTGCTGCCCTGCAGCAGCTGCAGCGGCGCTAGCTTGTGCGCTGGTGTCAACGATATATCCGTGTTTGCTGCAGCAGCAACAGCAGCAACAACAGCAACAGCAGCAGCAAATCAAAAGATAACGCAACACGCGCTGTTGCATGCAAAACACAGCAGCAGCAAACAGACAAGCAACAGCAGCAGCAGCAACAACAACAGCAAAACGACAAGCAGCAACAGCAACAAGCCCAGCAGCAGCAGCAGCAGCAGCAGCAGCAGCAGCAGCAGCAGCAGCAACGTACCATTAACGATGGCGATTAAATCATCAACAGAAAGTTTATGCAAAGCTACACCAGAATTACGAAGACACACAACCCCTAATACAAATGTCCTGCAGCAGCAGCAGCAGCAGCAGCAGCAGCAGCAGCAGCAGCAGCAGCAGCAGCAGATAAGCATAGAGCAGCACGCGCAGCAGGGATGCAACACTGGAACAATATCATGTGCAAGAAGCAGCAGCAGCAGCAGCAGCAGCAATGCTATGGGTGCGGTAGCAATAGCAGCAACAATCTACCCGCGCAGATCAGCAGCAGCAGCAACAGCAGCAACAACAACAGCAGCAGCAGCAACAGCAGCAGAGACTCACCACTTAACAACAGCTGGCCATTGTTGCTCTGCGAATGAAGCCAAATACCTGCAGCAGCAGCAGCAGCAGCAGCAGCAGCAGCAGCAGCAGCGTGACTCAGGAAACAGCAAGACTATCCCTTATCATTACCTATAACGTCACACCCATCAGCAGCAGCAGCAACAGCAGCAGCAGCAGCAGCAGCAGCAGCAGTACCTTCTGATCATAGAGTGTGTTAGCCAATCACTAATAAAGACAGCCCCTTTAGGTGTATGAAGCAAACGTGCTTCGGACTCCCTATAACCCGATATCGTCATCCTGCTGCTGCTGCTGCTGCTGCTGCTGCTGCTGCTGATGCTGTTGCTGCTGCTGTTGGTGCTGCTGTTGCTGCTGCTGATGATGATGATTATGATGTGGTCGATGCTGCTGTTGCTGCTGCTTTTATTGTAATTGGTGGTACGGATACTGTTAGTGCAGTTGCTGCAGTTGCTGCTGCTGCTGTTGCGCTTGCAGCAGCCAGTGCTGCTGCTGCTGTTGCTGCTCACTGCTGTCTTTGTAGCTGCTGCAGTTGCTGCTGCGGATGTCAAACTCAAAGTCAGCACGGGAAGCAGAGACACCTGAAATGAGCGTCATGTCTAGCGCAGACAGCAGCACCTGCTGCTCCTGCTGCTGCTGCTGCTGCGGCTGTTGCTGCTGCAGCAGCCGCTGCTGCTGCTGCTGCTGCTGTCGGTAGACACGTATGACTCTTAAAGTGCCAATAATTGGTCAAATATGCAGCCGTTGCTGCTGCACTGCAACAGGCTTGTTTCAGTAGCAGCACACACAGCTAGGATGCCTGTTGCTGCTGCTGCTGCTGCTGTTGTTGCTGCTGCTGCTGTTGCTGTTGCTGCTGCTGCTGCTCGCTTCCCTGTGTGTATACAAAAAGTCTGAAATTAAGAAATATAATTTATTTCGTTAGAGTTTTAGGACATTGCTGCTGCTGCTGCAGTGTAGGGGCCCCATACGGGGCTGACAGCAACAACAGCAGCAGCAGCAGCAGCAGCAGCAGCAGGAAGTGTGGCAGCCAGGGACAGCCCCAGCAGTAGCAGCAGCGGCTGCAGCAATTAGTACAGATTTATTATTTTTACACTATAAACAGTCTATGGATTTTGCTGCTGTTGTGTTGCAGCAGCAGCAGCAGCAGCGGCAGCAGCAGCAATAGCAACAGATCTGCATATTTGCTACTGTGTGGCGCGGGGGCCTTCTAGTGTCCCTCCTTCCGTACAGACACCGGAGCTCTGCTGCTGCTGCTGCTACTGCTGCTATATACACGAGAAAGGAAGCAACAGCAGCAGCAGCAACAGCAGCAGCAGCAACAACAACAGGTTCAGAGGTAGCAGCAGCAAAAAGAGTTAACGCTACAACAGAACACAGAAGAGACTGCAGCAGCTGCTACAACTGCTGTAGTTGCAGCAGCAGCAGCAGCAGCTGCTGCTGCTGCAGGCTTGGTAGAGGCGCAGCAGATACCAATCCGTATCCGGTAGCCGCAGCAACAGCAGCAGCAGCAGCAGCAGCAGCAGCAACAGCAGGAGCAGCGATGCTATTATCAGCAATAGCAGCATTATAACAAGCACCCTTCAACGTTTCCTCAGCAGCAGCAGCAGCAGCAACAGCAGCAGAGCTTACCGTGCATAAGCAGGAACGTCATCAACAGCAGCAGCATCAACAGCAGCAGCAATAACAACAGCAGCAGCAGCAGCAGCAGCAGCAGCAGGAATGTCTAAAGGTGTCCGTTTTCGTATAGAGCCTACGCCTGTAGGCGATGGCCGTTTGCTGCGATTTCTTACCGAGCAGCAGCCGCCACAGCCGTCATGGGAGGCCCCCCCTATGAGGCCCCTGCAGCTGCAGCGGCAGCAGCAGCAGCTGCAGCTGCTGCAGCAGAGGCAGCAGCAGCAGCAGCAGCAGAAGCAAAAGCGGCAAGAGCAAGATGGTGATGCGGCGAGTTCGCCTCCATCATCACCTGCAACAGGCCCTGAAACTAAGGAAGAAAGAGAAAAAGCTGCTGCTGCTGCTGCTGCTGCTGCAGCAGCAGCAGCAGCAGCAGCAGAAGGAGGTGGGTGGACGGAGGAAGGAAGAAAAAAGATGAGGGATTGGCTATCTGCAGCAGCAGCAGAAGAAGTATTGAATCCTCCATTAGATTTGCTGCAGCAGAGTGGTGCCTTCTTAGTAGCAGTAGATGAGCAGCAGCAGCAGCAGCAGCAGCAGCAGAATCTCGTGCTGCGCAACGAAGCTGTATGGGCTGCTGCTATAGCTAAGAGGGACAGAGCAGCACAGAAGCTAGCAGCAGGAGGGATGACAGCAGATATGCTGCTAGGGTCGTTGCATGCAGCCCCAGGGGAGCGTTTCTTAACATTATTACCAGCAGTGCAGCAGCAGCAGCAGCAGCAGCAGCAAGAGCAGCAAAGACAGGAGCAGCAGCAGCAGCTATTAATAGGTCTGCAGCAACGATACGAACGAGCACAGAAATTGCATGCAGCATTATTATCAGCAATTAAGGAGCAGCAAGGGCCATTAGGTGCTGCTGCTTCCTGTAAATGGTTGCTGCTGCTGCTGCTGCTGCAGCAGCAGCAGCAATGGAGAACTGTTAAGAAACAGTACCACGCCCTCGAGTTCGAGCAGCAAGAGTGTAATTATCCTTATATATTTGAGGTGTATATACACCTTATTCATGTTGCTGCTTGCTGCTGGGGCCCCACACCTATTAATAGGGTACATCTCCCTCTTCCTGCTGCTAGACCCTATGAGGAACAATTCGCGCTGCTCTCTGTTGCTGCACAAGAAGAAGAAGGAGAAGCAACAGCAGCAGCAGCAGCAGATCAGCAGCAGCAGCAGCAGCAGCAGCAGCAGCAGCAGCAGTTGAAGCTGCAGCTAGAGTTCCCCCCTACTGTGGGGCCCCTCATAGAGAGCCGCAGGCTGCTGCACTGCAAGTTGCTGCTGCGCATGCAGCTGCTGGATAAACAGGCAAGACTGGTGCAGCAGCAGCACAATTGCTGCTGCTGCTGCGCACAGAAGGGAGAAACTGCTGCTGCTACATGCAAAGCCACCCGAATACACAGGCAAACAGCAGCAGCAGCAACAGCAACAGCAGCAGCAGCAGCAGCAGAAGCAGCAGATCGTACATACGGGTCTACCTGTCAACCTGCCCTATCAAAGCTCCAAATACCTCCAGAAATACTTAGCAGCAGCAGCGACAGCAGCAGCAGCAGCAGCAGCAGCAGCAGCAACAGGGAGGTAGTAGAAGCAGCAGAAGAAGTACATGAATTATTAGAAGGAGCTCAATGGGTATTAACAGACCTAGCAGCAACTCATGTATTCACTGCGCAGCTGCTGCTGCAGCAGCAAGAAGGTATTCTTACATTAGCTCGTCGTCACCGCAGC